GAAATCTTGTTGAGTTTCCTTTTCCTTATTGGAATGCAACTGGCATGAAGTTTATTTGTTTCCAATTCATAGCAGCTCGAGTCGGATGCTCAGGCTCGTATACATATATTTAAGAAATCGTCGATCCTCCGATACAATGTTGTTGAAAAGACATTGCTCGAGTGTGGAGTTGCTACCACACGATGTTGTCGAGCTCATCCTCGAGAGACTTCCCGTGGAGTCTCTGCTTAGATTCAAGTGTGTATCCAACAAGTGGAACTCAACAATCAGTTCCCGTCGGTTCGGAGAGAGACAGTTGACCCGTCGCAGTCAATCACGAGGTCCAGATGTCCTCTGCGTGTGCCTCAGATATTATCGCGATGATGGTTTGGGCACAGAAGCTCGAGGAATTGTGTTGGGGTCATCAATAGTTTCTACGGTCAGGCTCCCTACTTTGCGCGACGTGGTCTGCCACGGCAGTTGTGACGGTCTAGTATGCCTCTACGATTTCTGGACAACGAGTGTCAATGTCGTGGTGAATCCCGCCACTAGATGGCATCGAGGTTTTCCTCTTTCAAGCTATCAACAGTTCCTCATCGAAAATAAAAATAGCGATGAGCTTCCCTACCCAATTGCTAGGCTTGGATTCGGTAAAGACAAATTAAGCCGGTTTGGTTACATAATTCATACGGATTTGGACTAGACAATGTTACCTCTTGTGAAGTTTTCGATTTTAGCACCAACGCTTGGAGGTACATTGTCCCTGCTTCTCCTTATAGGATTCTTGATTACCAGTGTGTATCTAGATGGGTCACTTTATTGGTTCACCGAGTGTGAAGAAACCGAGGTATTATCTTTCGATCTTCACACCGAAACTTTTCAAGTCATCTCTAAAACTCCCTTTGCCCATCATATAAGCGACCCTCACGACATCAACATGTGCATTCTCAATAACCGCTTGTGCGTATCCGAGAAAAACTGGCCCACCCAAGTCATATGGTCGTTCGATTCTTCAGGCGACAACAAGACATGGAAGAAGATGTGTTCCATAGATCTCACCAAAAATTTTCCTTGGTTTGGGGAACCCGCAACCGGCTTTGCACTGTCACCAATAGCAATTTTGGAGAAGAATAAGTTATTGCTTCAAGGACATGATTATTTTCATTCAACGGTTATACATGATCTCCATACCAAAACTTATCATTTACTCTTTAAACCTACCAAACCCGTTGGTGCTGTTTATTATTTCCAAAGTTTATTATCTCATTTAGCAACTTAATTTGTCTTCTTTTCTTTAACATTTTTTGCCTTTTAATTTAACGATGATTTTCTTCTCCTCAAGGTTTTCTTTGTGTTTTTGTTTCACATTGTTCCTATCTCCCTCTTGAAACTTTGGTTTGTTGATTCTGAATTCTGTGAGCCAACTTTTTCGTTCTCTTGGTGTAAGTAATTTTACACTTTTGGATTTTTAGGCTGATCATTTAGTAATCCCCATATTGCCAGGGTTACCACCAATATATTTGTTGTGTCAAATAATTGTATCTAAGAAAGCATTAGAATACATGGCCCAAATTGTATCTAATTTGTCAAAGGAATACATGACAAATTGTTCTCTATAGGTTTATCAAACTGTAACTAATATGTGAAAGGAATATAGTACACGCCAAAGCATTGGAATACACGACAAAGGGAATTACCACCAATGCGAAAATGGAATACATGAACAAATTTTATTGGGGATTGGGTCAATATGAGGCTGACCCGGATGTGATATACTCAGAAGTAGTTGTCCGGGATCACAGCTGGGCATGGTAGAGCTGCAATATTCTTCCTCACAGATTCAAAGTTTTTAAAAATAAACATCAACTAAATAAAACACTACTGCTTTTGAATCAGAAGTTAGTTAATTACCTCAATGTTCGAGTATTTTTTACGAACACGTTGGCAATGAGATAGACATCTACCGAGAAATAGCTCGTGCAAGATGCTAATTGCGTCTTTAAGGGACTGAGCGTTGCACTCCCTAGGAACCTGAACCTGAACCTGTGAGAAAAATAACAAAGTTAAGATTTGAAATATGACTTATATATGTAACTTTGTTATTTATTTTATATACAATAGCAGAAAAATATATTGGTTTTACCCTAGGAGGTAGAGAATCAACGATGAAGTGTCCCAGAGAGTAGCAAGCGGCTGCTAAAACGTCAATTTGATATCTCAAGCAGTCGCGATCGAGCAATAAAAGCTCCGTTAGGTATGAGCATAGAATCTCGAACTTATGGGGAAAAGGGAAAGAGAATGAGGTTAGGTAAAATTATGAAGATGAAGTCTATATATTTATAAACTATTTACTGTATACTTTTTAAAATTATTGTCTTAAATTTGAAAATGAATAATTTACTCACAGTGAGTGTGAGCATGTGGCCCTATTGACTTGAGAATTGCATCTAACAACTGTTTTGTCGTTGGCATATTTAGCTGATAGTGGATAGGGTTCAAGATCTGATATTGCACCCTTTGGTTTTGTGCACTGACCTCAATACTGTATAGGTATTTCCTGTGGAACAAAAAGTTAGAAAGAAAGACAAACTAATTTATTTAGAATTAGAAATCAAAAGGTTTTTAGTTACTAACATAGCTACACCAAAAGCCAAAAAAATCACTATGTGAGGTTTAGCGTTTTTTCCCCCTCATTGTGTGAAAATGTCGCAAAGTAATTGTCAAAGATCACTACGGCAAGGTGAGCAGCGAGGGAGTATGAACCTGCTTCTTTAGAGCCTAACATAGCATCAATCCATGCTTTGTGAAATTGAATCCACTCAAAACGAAGATAAAATCGCAATCCCTAAATCCATGCTTCGCGAAATAAACTGTTGATAGGTTCTATTGTGAGTCTAGGCAGAAAATGTCAGAGCACATGTATGTGGTAGTGCGTCTCATTAAGGAAGAATCCGTTGCACGGAATGATCTTAGTCAAATCTTTGAATTTGTAGAAAACTACAAAGAAGTTAAGAAAAAAGTGAAACTGCTCAAAATTTTAGTTGCAATATGAAGTAGACGAATAATAACTAAATGTGGGATAAACTACAAGAAATCATTTTTCTTAACAAAAATAGTCGATTGGAATAGTAGAAAAGAAAAGTATATAGAGAATAAAACAAAGTCAACAAACTTGTTTTACTTGTGTTTGCTTTTACACTTAGTGTAATTTTTGTACAATGAAATTCTTAGTCGGTCCTTGATACAAACATGTTTAGCATGTGTTTCTAGTCTTCAAATTTTTTATTAAATATATGGACCAGTTATTATGTTAAAAGCCTATTTGGTTGGTGGTGATAACTAATAACACATTTGGCAGAGAGGTGGAGGTTTCGAAAATATACCAATCAAAAAAAAAAAAGCAGATTTATAATAAGTTTTAAATTTTATTTCGGTTGAATTTTCTTTGATTTGGTTTGGCCTTGAATAAAAAATTATTTTCAAAACTAATTAAATTTAATTAACTGTATTTGTAGAACATGAAGTTCCAGATCTTGTATTTCTC